GTAGCTTTCCCACCCCACTGATTTCGAGTGTATAAGTACCTCCCACAATTAACCACTAGAAGACTGTATCTTCCAGGCCTGAGCATGGCACATGGAGGAAAACCTATTCGGCTGAGACTTGTAATTACTGCCAGCGTAAAGGGCTCTGGAAAAGTGAATGTCCTATTCTTGAGGAAAAATGGAAGTTTTCAGCTAGTACCCAAGTAAAACCTGCCGCTTTGGCTGCGTCCATTTCACCAGCCCAGTTGGCGTTCATATCCAACAGTCACCCTGAGGTCCTCTGTCCCACGATTTATAAGTCCGAAAACCAAGGTGATTACTCAGCATTTATTTCAGATGGTTATGTGTCCCTGCCTGGAAACAACAAAGTGAAAGTCAAAATTTTGAGACACAGGAGCAAAGCATACTTTTGTTTGTAAGTCGGTTCTTTCTTTCTCCTCAGATTCAAACACTAGAGATTTTGTTTTGATACTGGGTATGGGTATGACTCTTATCCCCTGTGCCAGTGCATAAAGCTGCTCGAAGGGGGTCTCGCCCAGGGTGTCATTCAAGATAGAGCCGCCACTGCTGACGTACACATACATATTATAATTTGTTATTGTGAATATTGTTTAATTAAACTTATTTTTCTTTAAAACCTTTAAATTCCCTGTATGGTCTCCCTCCTTTGTCACAAGCCTACAGCGGGTTCATGACAGTACTCAGCAACCAGCAGCAGCTTACACAGAAATGTCATTTGGGGATAGTGCTACCATCAGTGCACTATGTAGTCATGGTTTGTTTTCCTCCATGTGGATTTAGATTGCAGACAGAGTGGCAATGCTAATTAGCCAATTATTTCTATTCTTGTATGGCTAATAAACTTATTGATGCTGACAGTTAACTGAATTATTAATTATGTAAACCATTTTCCAATTTCTGTTCTGATTCAAGATTGATGAAATAACAGTTGAATAGTTTTAATAGTTGTGAAACTACCAGCAATTTACAATCTAACAACCAAAGTCAGAAATCTTCAAACCCTACATATAGCACATTTAAGTGTGTTATTCAGTTTTGTTAAGATTTTCAGTTTCATTTGAGTGTTCCTTAGAGAGGATGAGCCCAACATTATATTTCCTGTGTCCAGGAAATTGTTAATCTCCTGGCCTACCTGAATCTACCTGGATGGTGCGGACCTGATTTCAGAGGAATCATTACTGTGTTCTGGAAGCTTTTGGCCAGAAATGGCATAGCTCCTCCTCCTTTTAGAGATGGTACTTGAGGAACATGTCCATATTGGAACAACTGCTTATTCACATTATTGGATGAAGTTACATCCCAGTTACACAAGGACCTAACTAGCATGCTATCAGTGTGCTAAGATAACCAGCATACTGCCTGAGCCACCGACTTGACCAGACAACAAATGGCATGTTTTAAGTCGCAGGTTTTTATAACAATAGTGGCTAAAAATCTTTTTTTAATATGAATTGTCACATCTGCCCAATGGTGGATAAGCTTAACAGTGTCAGTTTTGGGGCCTTGTCTGTGCTGAAGACAGTGAGTATTTTTCCATGTTTTAGGAAAACATAGCAACGACACATTTATTTTAAACAAGTACAAAAGCAAACCATAGCATTACAAAGCAAAATTACAAAAAGCATTAATAATACAGCCGTAAACAAAGACATTCCTTCTATAACCCTCTAATGGTTTTTCAACCTCACCTGCACACATTTGCTTATTTTCTTTTGTTGTTGTGGTTCTGCAGTTTTTTTTTACTGTGCAAATGAATACGTAAAAATCTATAGCTGAATGGTGTATTAACCAAAGTAATGTAAACGTACACAAAGTATTGGGTGAATAAAAGTGATTAGAGTAAATTTGAAATAGTGGGCTCAGCAATGGAATAGATAGGATTTCAGTCTACGTCACTCAAAATTTCAAATATAGGCTAAAGTCCAGTCCAAACTATCAGAACTGATCATATTTAACAATAGGTGAGATTCCTTCTACAACCCTCTAAGGGTTTTTCAACCTCACCTGCACAATTTGCTTCTTTTCTTTTATTGTTGTGGTTATGCTGTTTTGTTTCAATATGCAAATAAATACATCTAAATCTAAATATTAATTATTAATGCACATCATATGCAACCGTAAGGTATAGTAATGTGAGAGTAGATCATAAAAAAATTGCTTTCTGTAGCAGAATTAGGGCTTTAAGTTCTTATGCAAGCCACATAGAGCAAAGTTTTTCAGTGCATTAAAGAACTTTTCATCCCTGAGGCCAAAAATTGTGTTTGTCGTTTGTAGTGCCCCCTACTGGATTTCAAAAAAGCAGCCCCGGTGGCCACGTTTCACCGATATGTATGAAACTCGGTAAGACGGGTAATGGTCCAAGACCTACAAAAAAGCCTCTTGGACCCATACCCCAAACCCCACGG